AAGGTTCCAAGTGGAGTACCTGCGGGCCATCTTTCACCTTAGTTATAGAAGGTTCCAAGAGGAGTACCGCAAGCAATACCCTCACCCAGAAGAGAAGGCCCAAGTGGAGTACCAAGTGGCCATCTTCACCTAGAAGGGTAGAAGGTTCCAAGTGAGCACGCAAGTGGTCATCTTCACCTTAGTTATAGAAGGTTCCAAGTGGAGTACCGCAAGTACATTCACCTTAGTTATAGAAGGTTCCAAGTGGAGTACCGCAAGGCCATCTTCACCTTAGTTATAGAAGGTTCCAAGAGGAAAACGGCGGTCATCTTCACCTAGTTATAGAAGGTTCCAAGAGGAGTACCGCAAGGGCCATCTTCACCTTAGTTATAGAAGGTTCCAAGAGGAGTACCGCAAGGGCCATTCTCACCTGAAGAGAAGGTTCCAAGAGGAGTACCAGTGGCCATCTTCACCAGAAGTTATAGAAGGCTGCTCCAAGAGGAGTACCAGGCCATTCACCTTAGTTATAGTTGCCCAGCAGGAGTACCGCGCGGCCATTCAATTTTAGTTATAGAATGTTCCAAGAGGAGCAATTCTAAGGGCCATCTTCACCTTAGTTATAGAAGGTTCCAAGAGGAGTACCGCAAGTGGCCATCTTCACCTTAGTTATAGAAGGTCCCAAGTGAGTACCGCAAGTGGGCCATCTTCTTTACCCAGTTATAGAAGGTTCCATGAGTACCGCAAGTGGCCATCTTCACCTTATTATAGAAGGCTGTTCCAAGAGGAGGCAGGCCATCTTCACCTTAGTTATAGAAGGTTCCAAGAGGAGGCCGCAAGTGGCCATCTTCACCTTAGTTATAGAAGGTTCCAAGAGGAGTACCGCAGTGGCCATCTTCACCTTAGTTATAAAGGTCTCCAAGAGGAGTACCGCAAGTGGCTATCTTCACCTTGAAGTTATAGAAGGTTCCAAGTGGAGTACTGCAAGAGGCCATCTTCACCTTAGAAGTTATAAAAGGTTCCAAGAGGAGGTACTGCAAGTGGCCATCTTCACCTTAATGGCAGAAGGTTCCATGAGGTGTACTGCAAGTGGCCATCTTTCACCTTAGTTATAGAAGGTTCTAAGTAGAGCACCGCAAGTGGCCATTCACCTTTAGTTATAGAAGGTTCCAAGTGGAGTACTGCAAGTGGCCATCTTCACCTTAGTTATAGAAGGTTCCAAGAGGAGTACCGCAAGCATTATCTTCACCTGAAGGCAGAAGGTTCAAGTGGAGCACTGCAAGTACATTTTCACCTAGTTATAGAAGGTTCAAGTGAGGACTGCAGGCTGGCCTTCACCTTAGTTAGGAAGGCTCTAAGTGGAGTACCAGTGGCCATCTTCACCTTAGTTATAGAAGCACCTAAGTGGAGTACCGCAAAATATCTTCACCTTAGTTATAGAAGGTTCCAAGAGGAGTACCGCAAGTGGCCACTCACCTTAGTTATAGAAGGTTCCAAGTGAGTACCGCAAGGGCTATCTTCACCTTTTAGTTATAGAAGGTTCCAAGTGGAGTACCGCAAGTGCCATCTTCAATTTTAGTTATAGAAGGTTCCAAGAGGAGTACTGTAAGGGCCATCTTCACTCTTAGTTATAGGCTGTCTCCAAGAGGAGTACCAAGTGGCCATCTTCACCTTAGTTATAGAAGGTTCCAAGAGGGCACTGCAAGTGGCCATCTTCAATTTTAGTTATAGAAGGTCCTGGGAGGAGTACCGCAAGTGGCCATCTTCAATTTTAGTTATAGGAAGGCTCAAAGAGGAGTACCGCAAGTGGCCATCTCTACCTTAGTTATAGAAGGTTCCAAGAGGAGTACCTCGCAAGTGGCCATCTTCACCTTAGTTATAGAAGGTTCCAAGAGGAGTACCGCAAGTGGCCATCTTCACCTTTAGTTATAGAAGGTTCCAAGAGGAGTACCGCAAGTGGCCATCTTCACCTTAGTTATAGAAGGTTCCAAGAGGAAAATGCAAGGGCTATCTTCACCTAGTTATAGAAGGCCCAAGAGGAGTACCGCAAGTGGCCATCTTCACCTTAGCAGAAGGTTCCAAGTGAGTACTGCAAGTGGCCACCTTCACCTTAGTTATAGAAGGCTGTTCCAAGTGGAAAATGCAAGTGGCCATCTTCAATTTTGTTATAGAAGGTTCCGGGTGGAGTACTGCAAGTGGCCATCTTCACCCTATAGAAGGTTGTCTCCAAGTGAGTACCGCAAGGCCATCTTCACCTTAGTTATAGAAGGTTCCAAGTGAGTACCGCAAGTGGGCCATCTTCACCTTAGTTATAGATGTTCCAAGTGAGTACCGCAAGTGGCCATCTTCACCTTAGTTATAGAAGGTTCCAAGGAGTACCGCAAGTGGCCATTCACCTTAGTTAGAAGGTTCCAAGGAGTACCGCAAGTGGCCATCTTCACCTTAGTTATAGAAGGTTCCAAGTGGAGTACCGTGCGGCCATCTTCACCTTAGTTATAAAGGTTCCAAGAGGAGTACCGCATCTTTCACCTTAGTTATAGAAGGCTCCATGGAGTACCGCAAGGGCCATTCACCTTTAGTTAGAAGGCTCAAGTGAGCACGCAAGGGCCATCTTCACCTTAGTTATAGAAGGTTCCAAGAGGAGTACCGTGCGGCCATCTTCACCTTAGTTATAGAAGGTTCCAAGAGGAGTACCGCAAGTGGCCATCTTCACCTTAGTTATAGAAGGTCTCCAAGAGGAGTACCGCAAGTGGCCATTCACCTTTAGTTATAGAAGGTTCCAAGAGGAGTACCGCAAGTGGCCATCTTCACCTTAGTTAGGAGGTTCCAAGAGGAGTACCGCAAGTGGCCATCTTCACCTTAGTTATAGAAGGTTCCAAGAGGAGTACCGCAAGTGGCCATCTTCACCTTAGTTATAGAAGGTTCCAAGAGGAGTACCGCAAGGGCCATCTTCACCTTAGTTATGGGCGGTTCCAAGAGGAGTACCGCAAGTGGCCATCTTCACCTTAGTTATAGAAGGTTCCAAGAGGAGTACCCGCAAGTGGCCATCTTCACCTTAGTTATAGAAGGTTCAAGAGGAGTACCGCAAGGGCTATTCCTACCTTAGTTATAGAAGGTTCCAAGTGAGTACCGCAAGTGGCCACCTTCACCTTAGTTATAGAAGGTTCCAAGTGAGTACCGTAAGGCTATCTTCACCTTAGTTATAGAAGGCTCCAAGTGAGTACCGCAAGTGGCCATCTTCAATTTTAGTTAGAAGGTTCCAAGTGAGGCACGCAAGTGGCCATCTTCACCTTAGTTATAGAAGGCTGTCCCAAGTGGAGTACTGCAAGTGGCCACCTTCACCTTAGTTATAGAAGGTTCCAAGTGGAGGCACTGCAAGTGGCCATCTTCACCTTAGTTTATAGAAGGTCTCAAGTGAGGCCTGCAAGCGGCCATCTTCACCTTAGTTATAGAAGGTTCCAAGTGGAGTACCGCAAGTGGCCATTCACCTTAGTTATAGAAGGTTCCAAGGAGTACCGCAAGTGGCCATCTTCACCTTAGTTATAGAAGGTTCCAAGTGGAGTACCGCAAGTGGCCATAATAAAGCTCATCTTGTTTGTCGTCCTCTTAATTAAAATGTCTTGAGGTGCGATACATGAACAGGAGTGAAGACAAACAAAGGTTTTGGGAAGGTGTTAGGAGAGACTAGATTATATTCGCTCTCAAAATGGTGTGTGTGTGTGTGTGTGTGTGTGTGTGTGTGTGTGTGTGTGTGTGTGTGTGTGTGTGTGTGTGTGTGTGTGTGTGTGTGTGTGTGTGTGTGTGTATTCGAATCTACCTCCACAACAGCTAGCCACACACCACTTTCATCCCCTCCAACCCCCCCTCCCTCTGCAATATTACCTGATAACTTAACGTGTTGTCTTGTTATCTCTGGCGATAAGAAGGGCACAAGGAAGGCAGGTAGGTGGAGTATAGTCTAGCGGGTGAGGCGCCTCTCTCAGTATACACAATTTGGCTGGTGTGAGAATGTGTGTTGCGCAGCGCTCCTTTGTACACCTTCCTGTGTCTCGCCGGTTGTGTGTTTAAGACGTCCACACCTCCTCCTGTGACTCTCGCGTCTGTCTGCTTCATATTTCTGTAGCCGACCTGAGATTGACATTCGTATTGTAATGTTTAACTTTCTGTGAAACTTACGTTGAAGATCGTGAGAGTGAGTGTTGAGTGAGACAGTTGTGCTGCGCTGAGACCGTCACGTGACGTCTTGTTGTGTGTAAACTTTGTTAAGGGATTCTTCACATATTGCTACTTACTTTAGTGATTGATTCAATGTCTGAGTTTTATCATTAAGCCTCACTTGTGGTTAAGGAAGTGAGCAGCAACACAGACATGACAGTGAAGGTGGTCTTGACTGTAGTGGTGGTGACCCTGGTGTTGACAACAGCCTCAGGTGTTGGGGCCAAGGACTTCGTTGAGTACGAGTACACACCACTACTTTATAACTACTCAACAAAAAGAACCAATAAACACATCGCTTCAGCAGACAGTGTGGTGTATAACTCTCTGTTATATAATGCAACGCTGCAAAAATGTTGGTGTTTGGGGGACCAAGTGTGGGATGGGTCACAGTGTACAGACACTACAACCAGTGTGGTGGTGCAGGACCTTGAGGCAGGGGGCGTTGTTGTCGTCAAAACCAATGAATTTGGTAGTGTGAAGGTCGGGGAGCCCCAGTGTCCCCCGGGTCACTCATTTGTTGTGCTCGACTCTACTCGTGAGTCACTGGACCAGTTCTCCCTCCTAGACTCTGGGAACTTGTACTGGCAACAACATCAATATCATCAGTATTGTATCGAGCACACGCTGCATGAAGGAGGGGAACCAAACTCCTGGGAGGCTCACGTGTGCCTCTCACCCCCAAAGGTACCTCGGTGCTGTGCCCGAGGCCTCTCCCTCGGGGCCGACAACTTTTGCACCGCCACAACCAACCATGTCTTCACACCACCCGTCATGGTGGACGGAGTGCTTATTAAGTGGTTGGTCGAGGGAGATGGAGATATTAATAATGTGACGTGTGAGGATTTTGAGGAGCTGATGATTCTACAACTGAACACTGATGGGTCGTATCTCACATACTCGTCAGGTGAAGCGTCTTTAGTGTGGTCGCCACCCAACTCACAAGGTTCAGAGCAGCGGCAAGATTACTGCGTGGGTGTGGAAGCAGGGAAAGATGACTACTTTGTCAGACTCTGTTATGAGGACCTCGTCGCCAGCCACCACCAACAGTGTAGGGACGCCACCTGCGTGCGCAAGTGTTGTCCAGAAAATGAGTTAATTGATGGAGTTAATTGTGTTCCTGCCACAAGTGACAATGAGTTGTGGAAACCTTCATTTTATAACCCTGATAACTTGACCCTTAATGTACCTCCTGCTGCTGATTTAAGAGTTGTTCATGGATTTCCACTTTGTGGGAACTTCTTTCAAACTGGAGTTGATGACCCAGAAGAAGAAATATTCTTGTTGAGTAACGGATTTTTAAAATTTTCTGGCTTCCCCAAACCATATCCCCCTGACCGCTACTGTGTGGAAAAGTTTCTTGGTGTAGATGGGTCAGCCTCCACTTATGGGCTGATCTGCTTCGAAGACAACGTCGAAGAGCTGATGACGTGTAGAACAATAGCCAGGAAATATGTGTACCCGAGTTTCACGCTGGTGTCATGTGTGTTCCTCCTCGTGACCCTTGTGTCATATGCCAGTGTGCCAGAACTACGGAAAAAGTTACACAGCAAGTGCCTCATGTCCCTGGTGTCGGCGCTGTTCCTTGCCTACATCCTGATGCCCATCGTATACTTGGCGGACGGCAACATGCATCCGTCGGTCTGCACAACTATAGGTCTGAACAACACAACAATTTCTTTTCGTTGCTCATAGCTTGGATTTTCCGAGCATCGTATGTCAACCATTACCTGTAACTGTTGCAACAATGTTACTGTTTACTCCTATCCTCAGTTGCGGGACAAGATTAATTTACGAGATTCTAGGAGTCCAAAGTTAAAAATTTTAATATAAAAGGTGATTTTTTTTTATTTGAGAATACTGACTAATTCCTACACACTAAAAACTATATCATTTAAGACGTGACCTGTTGGTGGCGTTTACTGGTTTTCACTCGGTCACGCCATGGTGCTCACTGTGCTAGTGGGTTGTGTTTGTGGGTTGTGTTTGTGGGTTGTGTTTGTGGGTTGTATTTGTGGGTTGTGTTTGTGGGTTGTATTTGTGGGTTGTGTTTGTGTGATTTGTGAATGCTATGGCCCATATCTTGGGTATGTAGGACCTGATTTTTTTTTAATTGTGCTTAAATATACACATTTTGTCTCATGTATGTATGTAGCTATGTATGTATGTATGTATGTGTATATGAACTCCCACAGAGTCGCTACCTCCTCGACTCACTCTAACATTCCATCATATATACAAAGGATTTCCTGTGTACATGTTGCATCCTCCTCCAAGAACCTCCGTTATCAGAAACTCTAGAAGAAGACTTACGCTATTACCACCTGTGTTGACTACATCTGCAATAATAATAATAATAATAATAATAATAATAATAATAATAATAATAATAATAATAATAATAATAATAATAATGATAATAATAATAATAATAATAATAATAATAATAATAATAATAATAATAACAGTAATAATAGTAATAACACCGGTCAACACAATTTTTCTGGCACAAGGTTTTTAAACGGATTTTAAGTAAATTTGGGGTGCAGAATCCAAATATGACTTTGGTTTTTGTCTATCACATCAGGTTTTTGAGATATACCATATTGCACTTTTGCTGGGAAACGTAAACTTTTGGATCAAAATTGACGGTTTAAACATGTATACATAAATTTTTTCAGCATTATAATTTGTATTTTTCTATAACCAAAAATTGTTAATATCAAATTGGAAAGTTAATGCACATATAATATTTAAATGTAACATTGAAGGGTGAAAAAAAGCAATTAATGTACGGTAGAAATAGTGCAAGTATTAAGATCAAGTTACAGTTACATAAACTTCCTCTTTTTGGCCGATCTCTTATGTACAGCTTCTGGAATGTCTCTCATCAAACTCCAGCAGTAGTCCGCCATCATGTTCGAGTCCCATCGACCTTGGTAACGTTCTTCCACTACTTTAATGTCTTGATGAAAGCGCTCCCCTTGCTCCTCGCTCACTTCTCCCAGATTTTCTGGAAACTCGTCCAAGTGACTGTGTAAGTAGTGAACCTTGATACTCATTCTGCATCCAAGTGCTTGTAAACTCAAGAGCAGCTCTTCCACAATTTCTTGATAGTTGTCCGCTTTCTTGTTCCCTAAGAAGTTCCGCACCACATTAGAGAAAGCATTCCAAGTTCTTGCCTGTGCCTCAGTCATTGTTGCAAGGAAGTGTGGATCTCTGAGTAGTGTTCTTATTTGAGGTCCATCAAAAATCCCTGCCTTTTTCTTCTCGTCGCTAAGACTTGGAAAGGTTGAGCATATATATCTGAAACACTCTCCACTATGATCAAGAGCCTTGACGAATTGCTTCATGATACCAAGTTTTATGTGCAGAGGAGGAAGGACAATGTTTTTCCTGTCAACCAGAGGATCGTTAATGATATTCTTGTCACCAGGCGTCAAACTATGTCTTGGTGGCCAATTCTTTTTCACCCAATGGTCTGCTGTAGCCCTGCTGTCCCAGTAGCACAGAAAACAGGGGTATTTTGTGTACCCTCCTTGCTGGCCCAATAGAAAGTTTACCATTTTCAAGTCCACACAAATTAACCATTCATGAGCATGGTATTGCAACCTCTCTAGAACAGTCTTAATGTTTTCATACTCTTCTTTAATTTGTACAGAATGTCCGATTGGAATTGAACCATACTTGTTTCCGTTATGAAGAAGAACACATTTCAAGCTCCTTTTAGAACTGTCAATAAAAAGTCTCCAATCCTTACTATCATATGCTGGTAGTCCCATGGAGAGAAGAAGTCCTTCTACATCATTACAAAAAACAAGCTGGTCATATGAATGAAAGTACTGCCGCAGTTGCTCTTCTCTGTTGCGATAAAAGGAGACACTCGTGCCAGGTTTTAAGAGTCGTTTCTCTTGAAGCCTGGAAGCTAACAATTCAGCAGACGGTTTTGGCAAATTTAGATCTCTGACCAGATCATTCAATTCTGACTGAGTAAACAACGTTGGCTTTTCACAATCTTCACCAGATGGCTTGAAAATATCAGTCTCTTCATCTTCATCAGTAGAAACAGGTGAATTCCGGTCTATATCCTCAATCTCTGGTAGCTCAGTAAATTCTGGCACGTTACGTGACGGAGCAAATCTGAGATCAGATTTGGATTCAGCACCTTAAAGTTAGTAAAAAAAACAGTTAAAAGGTTTCATGCCAGAAAAAAAAATATTTTTTTGTAGACCAGTGTAATAGTATCCATACAAAGATCTGCGAAGGAGAGTTTGTTTACATCGCTTAAGGTCATCATGGCCGCTATAATACGTTCGGGAGTGTAACCGACCCCAACACAGCTCCAGAGAACACAATGAAAACGAATAATTATGTCAATGTCTTCTATTGTTTATCTATTATACTGTATAACCCAACCCAACCCAACCATTAGGAGTCTATAAGAATTAGGTTCTGGATATGATGGCTAAAATGACCTGGTAGAATGGGGCCTATTAGAACTGGGGCCTATTAGAACTGGGACCTATTGGAACTGGGGCCTATTGGGACTGAGACTCAGTTGACCAATTACTTTCAATGTTTTTGTTTGTCTTAAAACCTCCCAGGTGTTGCCGACGCTTCACTTGTGACACTTGTGCTTCACTTTTGACGCACGTGCTTCATCTGTGTTTCACTTATGACACGTTATTTTTACCCCTATCTCACGTCTGTGCTTCACATTTACTTCACTGGTGCTTCATCTCTCGTCTCTCTACAGCTACGGTGCTTCTCTGGTCCTTCCTGGCTGCCTTCTTCTGGCTCAACGTCATGTGCTTCGACATCTGGAGGACCTTGAAGTAAGTTAGAGACGTTATGTGATAAAGTTCCTCAGACAACTTAGTAAAATGTACACACACACACACACACACACACACACAGGAGTTCTTGAGATTATGTAAACAAACTCACAGGATACTCCCTCTAGCGGCAACTGTTTACTGTCATCATTGTGTGTGTGTATGAGTGCATGTGTGTTTTTACAGTGTGTGTGTGTGTTTACATTATGAGGGATCGTTTACAACTTTATGGGTTCCAGTAAGTGAAGACAGCTTGTGGGAACCTCTCTTACTCGTTGTCTTGTTGGTAAATATCCGTGAGAAAATATTCACATTAGTTCAGTTTCATTCAGTTAAATCCTAATACAAGTTAATATTAATTCAGCATGTATATAGACAATGCAGGTATACAATTCAGCATGTATGTACATAGATAATGCATGTATACAATTCACCATGTATATACTGTAGACAATATATGTATTCTACTCAGCATGTATATAAACAATGCAGGTATTCAATTGACCTGATATTTCGTAATCAGATCACATTTTCCCATATATTGGGGACGCGACTTATTTTACGGGAGTGATACAAGATGTGAGTGTCACGGGGTGGTGATGCAAGGTGTGAGTGACGCAGGAGGTGGTGATGCAAGGTGTGAGTGACGCAGGAGGTGGTGATAGTGGGTGATAATGAAGTAGGAAGTGATATTACGTGGTGTGAGTGACGAAGGAAGTAATTAACAGAGGAAATGTGATACGGTGATAAGCAAAAAAAAAAAATAATGACTCCTTTTAATTCTGAACCGAAAATACAATATAATATAAAACATCGGAGCAGACTGCTTAATATATTTATACACAGTCGTTTGGAGAGTGAATTAAGGCTATCAGGTGGTACTTCCAGGGTATATGATGTCATGGAAGATTAGATATGAGTAGCAATGAGTGTCGGGCGTCAGGCACAACGAATTTAATCGGGAGTTCGTTGAATGTTATTGCTTCTTGTGATATCAAGTAAATAATAATAATGGTGATGATGTAATAAACATTAATGAAAAACAAACAAACATTATTCGTTGACTTAATAAACCCTAAACACTTCCATTACTCCCACATACATTTCACCAAAGACTGTACAGTAAGCTTCACATTACTCCACCTTCCTACCTGTTGCCTCAGTCTTGGGAGCTACTCATGATAACTGTGTGTGGTGTTGTGATAGAGGCGGGTAACGTGTTGCAAGCATCCTGTGTGTGTGTTCGTGTGTGAGTCTTCAAAGTTGTCTCGTGGGGTTAACAATAAGATTTTCATCACCAAATCCACATTAAACGACAAACAAAAATGGGTTTGAGTCCTAAAGTAGTTGTTGATGTTATTACGAGATGGGTCTTGGCAATAACCTAATAAAGGCTTTCTTGAGTTATCCTTGGTATAACGACTCATTGTTTGTATACCTGCACTGTTTATTTACATTGTATGCATATTTAGGCAATCTATGTATACGTGTTGGGCCAATGTGACAAATAATTTTACTAAATATTTAAATAAATTAATAAATATCTAAAAAAAAAGTCTAAATGAACCGTCTACCCCACGGTGTCTTGTAGGGCCATGCGGACGGTGACTGAGGGAGGGGAGTGGGCGAGACGACGCTTCAGGATGTACTCCCTGTACGCATGGGGCAGCTCCTTCCTCCTTGCCCTCCTGGCCCTCATCATGGAGACACTCCCTGACACCCACAGCGTCATCAGACCCAACTTTAGTGGCACCTGCTGGTTTAAAAATTATCGTACGTGTCTACAGCAGAGAATAGGAGAGTATTGTAATCAGTTTGTATGTGTGCGTGTGTGAGATCTTCAGTCAGGAGTCACTTGACACAAATGCCAACACAGGACTTTTATTCTTTGTTAGTGTTCATCCACACAGCTCAGTGAGTGACCTTGTTATATCAGGTCAAAGATCAAAGAGATGAGAAGGCTCTTGATCTGACCTTATGATTATATAACATCATAGTCTATTATTTATATTATATTATGATGTGGGATTTTGACTACTCCTCAAAGATAAGGTCTGTGTGTGTACGGCATGGTTTGTGTGTACGGCATGGTTTGTGTGTACGGCATGGTTTGTGTGTACGGCATGGTTTGTGTGTGCATTAAGGTTTGTGTGCTCATTAAAATTCAGTAACAATATAACATGACCAGTTTTGTCCATGTAACATTTTGTGTATGTACTGTGTGTGTACTACAGTATATTACAGCTTATTTCGTGTCCGTGTAACCTCTTCAGACAACGCGTCAATGTGGCTGTACTTCTACGGGTGGGTGTTGGCGCTGACGGTGGCCAACGCCCTCTTCTTCATCGGGGTGGCCTTTATCCTCATCCGGTCCCAGAACGACCCCATCCTTCAGCGAACCCGCGAACAGAACCGTGAGAGGTGAGTGTGTGTTCTGTCTTCCTCCCTTCACCCTTATCTCTTACCCTCTCTTCCTTTCCTTCTTGGGATCACCTAATCTAACCTAACCTAATCTAACCTAACCTAACCTAATCTAACCTAACTTTAGATATATGATCCCTTATTTGTGTAGTATTTGATAGTTTGTGTTTACCATCCTAGGATTTCACCGCTGTCGTCCCCATGAAGCACCTCTGGACTGCGCTACACGCTTCTCATGTCCATTAATTACTTCTAGACTTCATAATGTCATCTGTTTATGTATGACTGTATAAGTTGTTTCAGTGTAAATGTATGAATGTTTATGTATATTATGTTATATTGTGACATCTTTTGGTGTTGACAGGATGTGGCTCTACGTCAAGTTGTTCCTGGTGATGGGGGTGGCCTGGCTCGCTGAGGTTATCTCCTGGCAAGAGGGATCCTGTTGGGCATGGTATGTTACTCACTACTCACTCATACGTTACTCACCACTCACTCATACGTCACTCACCACTCATTCATACGTCACTCACCACTCACTCATACGTCACTCACCACTCACTCATACGTTACTCATCGCTCACTCATACGTCACTCACCACTCACTCATACGTCACTCACCACTCACTCATACGTTACTCATCGCTCACTCATACGTCACTCACCACTCACTCATAAATCATATGTCCACAAGTTATAGTGTCCTTTTATAACATAATTGATGTCGGTAAGTTCTGCAACTCTTAAGTGGCAGGTCCTTGAGGTAAACACTTGTTAGTCTGTTCTGTGGTTTATTTCTTTCACACTGTGTGCAGTGACAAGATCTGAGAGGATATTTTCTAAATCTTATCCAGGGGAGAGTCTGGGTACCACTTGGAGGCTACAGTACCTTTAGTTAAGTGGTACGCTTCCCTGTTCAGTGGTTGCAAGCTATCTGTCTCACGAAGTGTCACTTCCTCTTAAGCATGTGTCACCCAGGAAGTGTCACCTCAGAAGAGAGCTGTTAGCAACCCGGTAGCCACACTGTCTAGATACACTGACCTCATGAAAGTTAGACCCTTGGCGAAATTTGATAGCTCAGGCCTGATTTGTTGTAGCTAACTGGCTCGCTCCGGTGTTGTGCTTCCTAAGCACTTCCTGAGAAGGAGGTGCTGAGGTAAACAGTTCATGAAAATTTTTATGTGTACGCATACTGTGTGTATATATATATATATATATATATATATATATATATATATATATATATATATATATATATATATATATATATATATATATATATATATATATATATATATATATATATATATATGTATATATATAAATATATATATATATAAATATATATATATATACATATACATATATACATACAGTATGTGTGTGTGTGTGTATGTGTGAATATTGGGGTGCTGTTTATATAACGCTAAGGTGTTATTACACACAGTGAATTTTGTTTTATAAACACTTTATACTGTACAGTCAGTGTCAATCCATCCTCTCCATGAGGTGCGAACCCCGGGAGTACTGACTCGTGAATCCGAAGCCTTCACCTGATCTAGGGATGACCTGGAGTCTCTAAATATTGTGTCCTTTTACTACTATCATGACCCAATACAGAAGGGATGCATCTGATTATGCTGAACATAAGCATCAAATTTTTAATCTTATATAATAATACCCAAATGTATGTTTCTGTCTGTAACACACTAGGGAAGCTCCTCGTGAAATATATTACCAGACTACTGAATAAAAGTCGGGTCAGGGGAGGGGTGGCGGGTCGGGCATGAAAATCGTTGATGTTAAGTCTACAAATATAACATTATTACACGAATGGGACTTGTGAATTTGGCCTCTTTGTACCCTGCAAAACATCCCTGAAAGGAGGCTGGATTTGCCGATACCCGATCTGAAAAAAGTGGCTACAAACACTTTGGAGATCTCACAGGGTGTTGCCACCAGATGTATGTTAAGTGGATGTATGTTAAGTGGATGTATGTTAAGTGGATGTATGTTAAGTGGATGTATGTTAAGTGGATGTATGTTAAGTGGATGAATGTTAAGTGGATGTATGTTAAGTGGATGTATGTTAAGTGGATGTATGTTAAGTGGATGTATGTTAAGTGGATGTATGTTAAGTGGACGTATGTTAAGTGGATGTATGTTAAGTGGATGTATGTTAAGTGGATGTATGTTAAGTGGATGTATGTTAAGTGGATGTATGTTAAGTGGATGTATGTTAAGTGGATGTATGTTAAGTGGATGTATGTTAAGCAGACACTGCCTGTATATATTATAATACTCACTCACTCTTCATATTGACAGGATCCTGACAGACATCATCAATGCACTGCAAGGCGTCACCATCTTCCTGGTGTTTGTGTGCAAGAAGAACACTCTTAAGAAGGTCAGATTCTAACCTAACCTAACCTAACCTAACCTAACCTAACCTAACCTAACCTAACCTAACACAGGCTGAACAACACGAATTATGTGTAGAAAAAAGTGGTAGTGTGGTGGAGATGGTTGTGGTAGTGTAGATAGAATGATGGATAGATGGATAGATAGATAGATAGATAGATGGATGGATAGATGGATAGACAAATTGATAGATAGATAGATAGATAGATATTCAGTAAAATCTCCACACAAGTTTACATTGATTCAAGATGTATGTAAACAATACAGGTATACAATGCAGGTATACAAACAATGTAAACAGACAGAGCAAAATGGAATGAAAATATAAGGACATAAGGGACGATGATAAAAAAAAATGAGAAAGAAAATAGAAAAAAATAAGAGAGTGTATCACAGGAGAGGGTGACACATGATACCGATATATTCACACATATTAAGTGACATAAGGTCTACATCTTCACTACACTATTACCACGATAACTAATGCTAATAGTGTTGATGGGTGACTTGCAGATCAAGGAACAATGGTGTAGGATGGTGAGGAGAGAACAACATTCACCAGGTTCTGTTATGTCTACGAGTCGCCCTACCATGAGTACCACGTCGGGGAAGAGGACGAGTGATGTGAGCTCCCTCAGACCTAGTGAACAGTGAGTTGTTTAATGTGTGTGTGTGTTGTAGAAGGCTGCCATTTTTCATCCTAAATTAGTACCAGTGTGTTCCTTAATAAGCCATGTTTCTCCCTGTTGTCTATTATTGGATTAGTTGCCCTTAAAGAGATCATTTCCAAGATGCATTAAACATTGTGCAACTTGTTATACGACTATAGATGGTCACTGTGGGGGGAGACGGTGGCTGACACAGTACTCTAAGGCGCCCTATGTCATTCTTCTATGGTTAGTTGTACACCATGGCGACCTGTGGTGTAATGGTCAGCAGGCGAGTGGACCCGGGTTCGATTCCCGGGCAGGGTGAAACTATGGGCAAGTTTCTTTACGCCATTGGCCTCTGTCTACCCAGCAGTAATTGGAAACCTGGATGTTAATCGATTTGTGGATTGTGTTCCGGGGTAATAGTTAGCCAGTGGAGTTGGCGAGTAGTCCGGTCTTCTGGGACTATTCCTTGACACTTGGTCATGCAACTCGTTAACTCAGGGTGACCCTATAGGGCCGGCCATCCTCGTACACGAGGGGCAACCATTATGATTATTATTATATTTGTACAGCACATGACAGTTTGGTGGACCAGTTTATGTATTGGGAGTTGTTACTGATGGGCAAAGTGAAAGTAAAGTATATCATGTTTTGGAAATTAATTCTTGAAGTATTTTTATTGTATTGTTCAGATTCAAAAGTCAAGCAGTTTTATTCCCACTTTAGTTTGTGACTTTGGCTCATATATGAACTTACTATCATAAGATAATAAAATGTGGCCACCTCAGTCTGAAGAGCATGAGTCATATAGTGTTTCACCTTCCCCTGCAGGTTGTGTGCAGTGAAGGTAGACGCCAAAAACTACACTGAGGACATCATAGCCATGGACACCGTGGTGAGGACCAACGGCTCCCAATCAGTACCACCAAGCCCCCAGGAGAACCATTCAACACCATCTAGCCCCCAGGAGCATCTCCCAACACCACCTAACCCCAAGGAGCACCACCCAGCACCACCCAGCCCCCAGGAGCACACTGATTCACTAGCTGAGAGGGAGAGAGATAGATCATCAATCGACACCTATGATGAAACTGATCCCATGATTCCCCCCGCCTTTGTGGGTGACGGCCAGGCTAGTGAAGAGAGAGACCAACCCGAGGATCTGACACCCACTGAAGCTACACCACTGAGGTCCACTGTGCCTCCTTCAGAAACTCCGGAAACACACTTTTGAACTGTACAGGAGATAAGGTACTTGAAACTTAATAGGTCTGCTGAGATGTATGTTTAAGGTTGAGTCTCCTGTAAAGACCTGGACGAGTCGATGATATTCGCCCACTCAGTCATTGTCAGATATACTGACTGTTGGGCAAAAATCAAAATAATCTCTTCTGACTTGTGTTCCATATGTAATATAGTTGACACGCTTTGGCATAGTGTGTTGACTTTTAATGTTTTTAGTGTGTTGAACCCCATAGTTGCATTTTACCACAATTTTGTGTTTAGTGATTGTTGTGTGTTGCTGTACTTGCCAATATTGCTGATATAGAATTTTTTTATGTAAGCTGTAGCACTGTACATGACTTGTCTGAGGAGTACATTATGACATACACTGCTGTAGATGGACTGTGTACACCTTGTATCCTGACCTGACGCAGCATCAGTCTATGAATAATACTTTTATATTTTATGATTTTAATATGAAAGCAACTCTGTGAGAAGTGTGAAGGACACATTGATGTCTTTTGGTTGATATTGACTGATAACCGTTTTTTATGTAGTTGTTTGTTTGTTGATGATTGTGGTGTTATATGACCTTCCCTGTGAGTGGTCATTATAAACATGGATGACACACAGTCAGTGGCCACCACGATCAAAAGCTTGTGTATCTGTCCACCTGATGACTTTGTTCTTACTTACTGTAGATAAAACTCAGCTTGTGTGCTTGAATCTCTGCCCACGTGTGTGTGTGTGTGTGTGTGTGTGTGTGTGTGTGTGTGTGTGTGTGTGTGTGTGTGTGTGTCCCCGCTTATTTTCCCATTACGATTAAACACCTTAATCTAACCTAACCTCTCTTGATCTAACACTAACCTAACCTTCTAGATAACGTTAGAGTGTTTAATATAAGGTGAAATAAGCTGGAGACTAATCTTCACGTGATTCAGATACGGATAAGAAAATGGTGAAGACCCGCATCTACCCCACGTATGACCATGTGTACTCTATATGACTTATGTGGGGCCAGAGCTTATCCTAGTTGTTTGTATATTGACAACATTGTAAAAGGACCAGTACATTCTTAGTACTTGCCGACAGTGTGTAACAGAGAGCCAGTACATGCTCAGTACTTACCAACAGTGTATACCATAGACGTGACCGAGCGACCCGTGACGATGAGGATAAAGTACAGTAGAGTAGTGACCATCACCCTTATTTAATATAAGACTCATTAATGATAATTTCCAGCCACTGAGGATCTTCTGTTCATCCAGCATCTGTACAGTAAAATCTTAGAAGGTTCTGAGAGCTCATTCCACTAAATAGTTAAAGGAATTTACCATAAAGGTTAAAGGTTATGGTTAATTTTATTAACATTTTTACTTGATAATTTTTGAATTTGTAAAAATGTAACCAGAGAAAACGATAAGAGTTGGAGTATTTACTATCCGAATGTACTGCCCCTCCCATATTACACGTTTACACGCATATGTTGGTGGAGATAAGGCGATGTTAATGTTTTTCTTGGTTTATCCTTGTTTGTTAAACTTACTGTTTACCATTGTTTGTGTACCTAAACTGTCTAGGTATGTTGTTTGACTAACACTGTTTGTATACCTACACTGTGTATGTACGAGTGTACAAGTATCTGATGGCTTTGTCGTCTAACCTTATTCGGATTGTCTCACTGTTTACTATTGTTGTATACCTACACAGTACTGCCTCACTTGTAGTACAGTACTTCTGTTTAGTGATTAATTTCCTGCTAGGGAGTCTTATCTTCACAAAACAAACATCTAGGTTAAGATGCTGAAGAAAATAAACTTGGTAGTGAACTTCCCATAAAACAATTACTGTATATAAAAGTTTTATCATCACTGCTTCGTCTATTGTCATACAACAAACAAACATAACAACCAATCGATAGTCCAAACACCTCGTTAAATAACCCCCGCTCATTGATGCCGCCCCTACTGCATCAGGCCTCGAGCAGTGGACAATTTACTCGACGGTCTTAAGTAATTAATGTTTATTGTTTTACTTTTTGTTACTGAAGGTTATTATTTTGTGGTTGGTGGTCCAGTAATAATGTTGTCAGTAAAGTGAGGTTGTGATGGATGATGGTTCAGTATGGGGGAGTAGAGGCTTCAGTTTGGTTCAGTGTGGGGGAGTAGAGGCTTCAGTTTGGTTCAGTATGGGGGAGTAGAGGCTTCAGTTTGGTTCAGTGTGGGGGAGTAGAGGCTTCAGTTTGGTTCAGTATGGGGGAGTCAAGGCTTCAGTTTGGTTCAGTATGGGGGAGTAGAAGCCTTAGTTTGGTTCAGTATGGGGGAGTAGAAGCCTTAGTTTGGTTCAGTATGGGGGAGTAGAGGCCTTAGTTTGGTTCAGTATGGGGGAGTAGAAGCCTTAGTTTGGTTCAGTATGGGGGAGTAGAAGCCTTAGTTTGGTTCAGTATGGGGGAGTAGAAGCCTTAGTTTGGTTCAGTATGGGGGAGTAGAGGCTTTAGTTTGGTTCAGTATAGAGGAGTCGAGGCCTTTAGTCTCACGTCTCCAAGACTCGCACAGAGATTAAGTTTGAGTTGACACACGTGACACGCCACCCTGACGCCTGAACCTGTCTGAGTTAGTATCTGACGCCTCTGCCGGCTGACTGGTACTGTCTAATGCTGGGTGTTGTTGGTTGATCGATACTGCTGCTGGTGACTACTACGTGCTGACGGATAATGGATATTGTTGCTGACGGCTGACCAAGAGATATCTATTTCACGCTGACGGGTGCTAAGGTATATTGCCAGCTGACACAAAACTCCTTTTGTGTACAGGTATGGGCTTATATGTCTAGTGTACTTGGTTTACTTTAGTTTACCTCAGCAAGTTATCGCAAAGTTAGGTGCCGTGTAGTGTACCCCCGTGTACTAGGTGCCGTGTAGTGTGCCCCCGTGTACTAGGTGCCGTGTAGTGTACCCCCGTGTACTAGGTGCCGTGTAGTGTGCCCCCGTGTACTAGGTGCCGTGTAGTGTACCCCCGTGTACTAGGTGCCGTGTAGTGTGCCCCCGTGTACTAGGTGCCGTGTAGTGTGCCCCCGTGTAATAGGTACCGTGTAGTGTACCCCCGTGTACTAGGTGCCGTGTAGTGCACCACTGTTAAATGATTTATTAACACAGGTAAAGTTCCCCCAAAAGTATTGTTAGAATTTCCGTCGCTCCAATATGAAACACTTGACAAAATACTTTAATATGATCCTTAGTGCATCATAAGTTGAACGGTACACCTGCTCGCCATATCAACACCAGCTAGAGATGGTGGTATGATTCAGAGAGGGTTGTCGCCCTTGTATGGCCAACTAAATACTTCTATGTAACAAAAAATCCATTAAGCTATATTAATGTATGTATCGTGCTGGGTAGAAGCAAGGGATGTGTAAACAAGCCACTGACTGATGTTTACAATAACACGCAAGTACTTTAAATGGAAATGGTTCGGATCATCATGACGTCAACGCGGACATTTCACCATTACTTCGCTGTACCAACGGAGTTTCATTCATACCGAGTTTCACAATAAACCAATTCATGTTGTTCACGATATGTCTGATTTATGAAGTGACTGAGCAAATAGTACTTGATGTTTGAGTGAACAGCTCCAGCAATATATACAGGTAATGTATCGGTCGACATAAGATCAGGTTTCAAATAGAGGGAATTGCTGCCAACATAACCCCTCGTCCACCTATATTATGAAGACAGGCATAGGCATAGCGTTTGTATCTATTTACGACATCCACTCTGAATTATGTAATATATGATCTGAAGCCTCGGATGATTCACATCTTCGAGAGCGTATATACTCATTCATGCTCTATGGTCGCGGATGTACAACTACCAACCATTCAGAAACAGGTCGAGTTAACATTGTCGGGAAAGCCTCGAAACACCATCGATCCCATGGCTAATAATATTCTTTTTGGGGACTGTCTATTAGCCACAACATTTCCAGTTAAATATTTTCACGCCGGTAATTTTTAATACTTGATGGATCTTAACAAAAAGTGTTCGGTAAAACCTGAATATACACAAACATTATCCTGTTTCCTTCGTTCATTCAACTTAACCACAAGTCTTCCACAAGGTTCATTTCCTTCAGAGAAAACTTATATAGAATTAAACAAAAACGAGGAATTTATAAACTCACAGTACAGGTGGATTATATAAAATTTGGTAGATAACTGGTGAATTTTCTTTAATGCAAGATGTCAGGACTCCAGTTACGACTCGCATAGCTAAGTTTGATATCGCAGGAGTGACGTGACGAGGTTTAAAGAGTCACAGTACAGTATAGAGGAGGATGGATGACAGCGGCCAAGGTGGATACGAATTATCAATAGCCTCCAGAGTCCTTGGCATGAACGGCAGTGTCCTGCACAACGGCACCCAGTCTGAGTTCTTCCCCATCCAAACGGGGGTAAAATAAGGGTGTGTACTGGCACCAACTGTCTTCCATTTACTTTGCTGCCTTCCTAACTCATTCCAGTGCCAATTTAGCCGGCGGGGTTGATATTCAGTACCGGATGAAGGGTCTTTTCAACATAAGGCGACTCCAGACAGGAACAAAGGTGTCGGCAGCTTCCATTACTGAACTTCAGTATGCAGACGACCTCACCCTTGTTGCTCACACTGAACGCGACCTACAGGAGATCCTGAACACCTACTCTCACCAAAGTAGTCTACGTTCCATCCTCCGAGTTCACTGGGAAGACAAGAGAACAAATGCTTGTACAGTATTCTTCCTGACACCAACTGTAGGAGCATCGGGGCTACCATTATCCAGGAACACCTACGCTGGACTGGCCATGTTACCCGCATGGACGACAGTAGATTGTCAAAGCAGCTACTTTACAGTCACCTAACGATTGGTAAACGTAACGCTGGCGGGCAGCAGAAAAGTATATGGATAGTCTTAAGACAAACCTGAAAAAGTGCCAAATCGACCCCTTCACCTGGGAGATGATCACGCCACAAAGTAATGCTTGGAGGAGTACCAAATGAAAAGGTGTCAATACTTTTGATTTAGCCCGACTGAAAACAGGCGGACAAGCGCCAGCGCCGGAAAGCCGCTGCCGCCGCCCCTCCCGCACTAGATGTAGCCCTTCACACGTGCAACATCTGTGGAAGGCCTTGCCAGTCTTGTATCAGCCTCTCGAGTCACCTCAGAGCTCACCAACGAAGACATCTTTAATAACTTCTATCATTGTATCATATCTGGATGATCGTCATAATCGATTCCGGGTGACAGCAAAGTAGTAGTAGTAGTAGTGAGTGTGTGTGCGAGCACGAATGTTTTTTTATTTGTGTTTATTTGTGTTCATGCTTGTGTATGTCTGTGTTTAGGTTTGTGTACGAGTTTCTCTATACGAACACAACAATACTTCAACTGATTACTAAGTGCATAACTGCAACACGCAGCAATTCATTTTGAAAACACAGATTTCAATAGATATGAAAATAGATATTTAATCTTTCAAAAACCCCAATAAAACTATACGCCTCTATTTTCCTGAAATAATCAATAAATTAGAACGAAAAACGACATACAGGTATTAGTATTTGTTAAAGTCACACCTTCTCTGTTTTCTTTAAAGACATAAGACTAACAATGGTAGATGAACTTAGCCATTTCTTTACTTCACTTATCATTTTCGTCAGTTCGTCTTGTTAGCCTCTTGGGTGGGTGGTTTTGTCTACGTACTGTTACTAGGAGGTAGATATATGCTGTACTGTTTCTCCTCAGGGTTGTTTGACCTTCACAAAACAACAACAACACTAAACTGAGAAGACGTTCGCCGGGTGTTGACATCTTCTTACTTATACTATTAATTTTACTTTTATCCTTTTTGCCACTAATCGGCTCGTTAGCCGCTTGGGCGGTAGGTCACGTCTCTGTTACACACTATTGGCAAGTACTGGGCATGCACTGGCTCCTAGATATATTGGAACCTGGTCCAGTGTTGGTCAAGTCTGGTCTTGAAAGAGCTCACACTCGGTGCCGTCACAACACTCTCTGGCCACAGTTTTCTGGACTTGTGATTTCTTCAATCTTGTGCTGTGACCGCTTGTGGGGCTGGCGTTCGCCAGCTTCAGGTATGGACACTCGACTGATTAATGCTCTTTGAGATGTTTATACACCTCAGTTAGGTCACCCCTTGTCCGTCTGTAGCATAAGCCTGGCAGCTGCAGGCGTTCTAATCTCTCTGGATAACTGTTACTGAGGTGTCGAGGTGCAGGCACCAATCTGGTGGCCCTCCTTTGGACATTTTCAGTCAACTGACAGTCCCATATGTCGGAGACCAGACGGGGTAACAGTATTCCAGGCAGGGAAGCACCCCACTCTTGAAGATCGTTACGAGGGACGAGCCGTCTAGATATCTTAGCAGCCATTTCTTCGACCACTCTTGAAGCTCCCAGAGATCTTTCTGCAGCTCTTCGCAGTCTATTTGGTTTTTAATTTCCCTGAATAATTCATCGTCCCCAAACATTTGTATGGAGGACTGTATAACTTCTGGCATGTCCTTTAGGAAACAACCAAACAACAACGGGCCCAATCGACTGCACTGTGGTACCCCACTTGTCACGGGTACACATAACGATTTCGTACCATTAATCACTGCACACTGCTTGCGATCATGCAGAAAATCTCCGACCCACGCTAGGACACTTTCCCGAATCCTGTACCCTTCCAGTTAAATTATCAGCCTTTCATGGAGTACGCTGTCGAAAGCCTTGACATTTTTTTTATATGTGCCCTGTTCCAAAATTTGGGTCCAGACCGTGTTGGCAGTCCTTTACAAGGTTGTTGTGTAGTAGATGTTCCATAATGGCATCTCCTTTAATGCTCTCAGGTATTTTACACACTATGTTGGTCAGGCTCACCGGTCTATAGTTGTTCGTGGAGTAACGATCGCCTTTCTTGAATATAGGACTCGCATAAGCCGTTTTCCATTCACTGGGGACCTTCTGCTCCTCCAGGCATTTACAAAACAGGATTTTCAGGGGCTCCACAAGCTCGCTGTACAACTCTCTTCGCACTCTGGGGTGCACCATGTCAGGGCAGGGACTCTTATGAACCTTTAGCTTTGACAATTTATTTCTTATACCCTCTTCTGAGAACATAATGTGAGTCAGCACTGTGTTAAACCGTCTGTCCTCAAATGCAGGAAGATTGTTCGCATCCTCTCTGGTCAGAATCTGCATAACTACCACCTTCAAGCCTCAGGTCCGATATGCCTTCTCACGTTTTTAATTTCGACTTTGCGTAGCGGTAAAACGCCTTGGGTTTGACTTGACCTCGCTCGCAGTCCGCCCCTGGAACTCATTTTCAGCCCTTCTAGTCTCTGACTTTGCCTGGTACCTGGATCTGACATACATCCTCGTGTCCTGCTCGAATTTGAGTTTTCTTCTTAACTTTGTCTACCGCCGCATAGTTCATGTGTAGCGGTCTCCTTGTATTCCTGGAGGCACTGGGTTTGGTCTTTGGTATATATTTATCGATCAAATGGTTCACTTTACTGGCTATGATATTCAGCGTAGTGTCTGCGTTCTTATATCTCTCAGTGAGTCAGGCCAGTGAAGACGCCTTTATTCTCCCTCATCACCTCGTAATTACCCTTGTAATATTTGAACCATGGCCTGGTTTTGTCATTAGCCAAGTAACAGTTAAATCTGAAGGACATCGTTACGTGGTGACTGGTGGCAACGGGAGCTAGATGTTCCAGCTTGGCCACCATACCCTCCTCGTTAGTTATGATGAGGTCCAGTGGCTTGGGTCTTAAACATGTTGGAATAGAAAATTGTCTCAGAGTTTCTACGAAAAGAGTAACGGAACTATTAAGGTCATTTGGCGTGGTTTCATTTCTCCAGTCATATCACCCTTGATAAAAGTTCCCCATACAAGGAGGTGGCTAGGGTTGAGCGCCGTTGCGTTGTCAATTAATATTCTTAAGTTCCTTTGGTTCAATAAGCTACAGTTTGGGGATCTGTAGATACACCTGTCAATAAGTGTCTCGCCTTTAGTTTGATTTTATACCACTTTAATTCTTCAAAACCATCGTCCCCCTGCCCTCACCTGGCTGGCTCTAAGATCTTGTCTAGCATAAATAACCACACATTTTTTGCAAGTTGCTTGAGAAAGGTTCGCAAAGGAGTCATATCCGTCTATACTGAACTCTCATTCCTCTGGGTCAATTCTCTTGTTCTTGTACAACAGTTCTACAACTACTACAATATCGGGTTGGAGTACCTTCAGTAGTGTTTCAAACTCCTCTCTCTTATCAAGGAACGTGTCAGTATTAGTGTACATGACTTTCAAGACAGAATTTTGTAGGTAACATCTCTGATCTTGGTAGTGACTCCGGCCCCTCTCTATTCTCAGCAGCTGCAGCGTTTGCCTTATACATTGCATTTTCTGGGGTGTGGTCAGAGATGACATTGTTTACATGGCGCTCGCCTCCCAGAGCGGGTGGGGGAGGGGGGGTGTCCGGCAGTCCCCTGGCTCTGTATTGTTGCACTTGCCTCCACTACCTTCCCCTTGTATATATCCCAAGCACGTCCGTCCCCGATCCTCATCAATCAATCATTACCTTTCTGTGCACCCTTTATGAAATTTCTTATCAACAATAATTGGTATAAGTTAGTTTTAGAGTATCACTTAGTAACTTCATTCCTAACCCCATATACAAGTCATGATCTCAGGCGGGCACTAATTACTGTACGTGATGCCTCAATACTTAAGAACATTGTCACAAATAAGATTAACACAAACAACTAGGTTAAGCTCTGGCCCCACACCAGTCATATAGAGTACACATGGCCATACGTGGGGTAGATGCGGCTCTTCACCATTTTCTTATCCGTATCTGAATCACGTGAAGATTAGTCTCCAGCTTATTTCACCGTATAATTAAACACATTAACGTTACCTAGAAGGTTAGGTTAGTGTTAGGAAAGGTTAGGTTAGCGGTAGGTTAGATTAAGTTGTTTAATCGTATAAACGGGGGACTAATCTTAACGTGATCCGTATATCCTCTTGAGCTTCAAACATGTCTAGAATCACACTCCTGGGTCATTAAGGGTCATATCAGGGGTTAGGTTAGGTCATATCAGGGGTTTAAGGGGTTATATCAGGGGTTTAAGGGGTTATATCAGGGGTTTAAGGAGTTATATCAGGGGTTTTTGGGGTTATATCGGGTTTTATGGGGTTATATCAGGGGTTTATGGGTTATATCAGGGGTTTAAGGGGTAACTAATACATGCTTCTGATGGTAAAAACACACACACACACACACACACACACATAAACACAAACACACAAGCATAAACAGAGAAACATAAACACCCAAACATAAACACAAACACAAACACTCACAAACACGCCCTCTTCTCTGCTCTGCCACTATCAATTCTGCATAAACACAGCCCTCTTCTCTGCTCTGCCACTATCAATTCTGGCAGCTGCAGGAACAGGTTAAGAATAAATGAGAAAAAAAAACCCACAAAGTTTATTTCCTCGTCACTAGGAATAAACTAGAACAAGACAGTGAATGAAATATATAATACAAAGTTGTTGTTTTTTTGTTGACAGTGAGTTAAAAATAAAATACATGGGAGAAGTGAAAAATTATGTACACTGTATAATTTGTATAGATATATTAATGGGTAAATCTGAAAGTATGAGGAACAGGGAAAGACAGAAACTGAAAATGGATGAATGAAATTAAAAAAAAAAAGGTTGTGGTACCTAGAGAGATACAACATAGGGAGGATTGGTAAACACGTTCTTGACAACATATGGAGTGTCGGGCCGTGGTCGCCATCCCTCAGACGAGAAGATGTTGTTTTGATTCCTTTTTTATCAGAGGTTAATTGTTAATGACCCACGTCTATGACTTTTGTTGTTAATTACGTCATATTTACCTTCTCCGTCCGAGTGTCATAGTCATTCACCTGTCCACGTTTCCTGTATAACATAATGCAACACCTGATAACTCTGCCTGCCATAAACTATAGTCCTATGTACATTTTATTCTCTATTATAAATATATATCCACTGAACAAACACCTCATTAAAGCATGTTCTTTCCCTCTGGTCAAAACTGATGCGTATTCAGTTTCTTGGTATGGAGGGAAACGTTGTATTAGTTTTCTCTCGTAAACAAAGAGGCCATGACACTACGAGGCAGATTCACAGCACCAGATATCTGTTAATTAATGGATAGTTTTGTTCACATGTATCAGGGACCTGGTGAATCTTTATCGGGACTTGAACATTTTTCTGTTGTTCACGTGTACAAGAGGATCACCGAGTCTTGGTTTGGATACAGTGGTGAGCCTCCTGATCCTCACATGTAACATTGCTTCTCGTAAACACAGAGGTAATTTTCACGTGTATATGGTGACCGTAAAGTACTGGGAACTGATGCTTTGTTTATTCCAGCGTCTGTCACACTCGAGGGTTAAGATGCATTAGTTTCTCTACTAGTTTGTACTAAGCTTATTTCCTCTCACTGTAGACGACAACATTACCGTCACTTTGATCTTTAACCTCAGTCCTGACCACACTCGGACACCAATACCACAGACTATGAAGTACGCTTAAAATACCTATTATATTTGACCAGACTAAAACACTTATTGAAGCCTCGATAAGGCTGAAGACTCTGTTCTCGGGAGACTGACCAGTGTCGAGTGTGGTATGAGTCAGGACGAGGCCACCAGGTTAATGCCACTTGTAGAAGACCTACCGTACCCGCCCGCTAAACTTTTCACCACTCATTTGAGAACTCGAGAACCTGTTGATCCAGGACTCGTTGATGATCTCCCACCCTCTGACACAGTCCGTGATGGATGACTTGTGACCATTGGTGAGACGAACCACAAGACGGACTGACGCCAGCGTAATTGGTCCTTATTGTCTCACAGCTACACACCTCACTGGTTCACGACCGTGTAGAGACCTGCAAGTAGAGTCTCGGTGAGGGCCTTTGGGACTGATAGTATGGAGTACTTTTTGCTTTCGTCTTTTGCAGGTTTTCGGATATTAGCAAGTGAAGGCTGTTAGGGCTTGTCCACACGGGAGGCTTAGTGGGGGTTGGCTGTGTGAAGGACTAGGGTGCTTGTTTGTATGACGTTCCATGGGGGTCAAATCGTTTGATGATCCTTCAGGATCCACGAGAGTCCTTCAGGGTCCACTGGAGTCCTTCAGTTTCCACGAGAGTCCTTCAGGATCCACGAGAGTCCTTCAGGATCCACGAGAGTCCTTCAGGATCCACGGGAGTCCTCCAGGGTGAATCTACGGGGAGAGATGACGTCAGTTAGATAAAATTCATATCCTAGAATATTCTAAATAATAAACTGTAGAGAAGAAACAGACATACACTACACTTCACCAACGGACATACACTACACTACACCAACGGACATACAGTACACTTCACCAACGGATATACACTACACTTCACCAACGGATATACACTACACTTCACCAACGGACATACACTACACTACACCAACGGACATACAGTACACTTCACCAACGGATATACACTACACTTCACCAACGGACATACACTACACTTCACCAACGGACATACACTACACTTCGCCAACGGACAAACACTACACTTCACCACCAACGGACAAACACTACACTTCACCACCAACGGACATACACTACACTTCACCACCAACGGACATACACTACACTTCACTAATGGGGTGTGGTGGGGGGTGGGGTGGGTTGGGGCGGGGCGTCTCCGTAGAGTTATGTGCATCTTATCAACGCTGAACTCCCTCAGCTGGTGGTCTGTGAACTCTCGGCTAGTGATCTGTGAACTCTCGGCTAGTGATCTGTGAACTCTCGGCTAGTGATCTGTGAACTCTCGGCTAGTGATCTGTAAACTCTCAGCTGGTGATCATCTGTGGGACTAACATCCCTTCAGCTGGCGTGATTCTGTTTGTTTGTGTTCTCTGTAAATAAGACCAGAATTCTTGGTTCACATCAGCTGTAAGTAGTGAAAGAGCCAGTCTATTATTCTAACCCGCAAACGAACCCAAATCTTGCTACTATAACCGTGGATGAGGTTAAGTTAGGTTTGGTTAAGTTAGAACAAGTTAATTTTGAGGTAAGTTAGGATAGGTTAGGTTAGGTTCCCAATCAATCGTTTCTTAATTTAAAATACTATATCTCTTGCTGCGCAATTGGAAAACTAATGTCTCGCAATCTTCCCGCGTCATATATCCAAGAATTTTTTTATCACATCTATTCCTAAACACAGATTTAAAGAATATAGGATGTAGATATGATAGGATATAGGCACTATAGGATGAGAGAGAGAGAGAGAGAGAGACGTCACGTCACCTGGGAGGGTGGTGGTGTAGGCCGCAAGACAGGAGGTGGTGACACTCGTCCCTCTGGTCCACTACCCCAGCAGGAGAGCCTCCCCGTCAGGCGCCAGGATGAGAGAGAAGGGGTCGGCGGCCTCGGGCAATGCTGGGATGTCGTCAAAGGCGTGAAGGTTGTCCTCAAACACACAGCACGAGTCGTCGGAGAGGAGGTCGCTTAGGTCGCTACTTGTGCTGAGGGAGCAACTGATGGGGGAGAAGGAGGTAGAGGGTAGAGGTGAGATAGTGAGGCATTTCTCCACCAAGTGGGTCTGAGGTTGACTGCCGTTCATACCAGATATCGAGGTCAGCTGAGAACCGCTTATGGGGACGTCCTCGAAGTGGAGGTCATCGAAGAAGGAGATATCGCCTGGGTGTCCGTCCTGCAGGATGTGTGAGAGCGCCCTGATGTAGCTGACGGCGAGCCTCAGTGTGGTGATCTTGGTCATGGCCGCCGCTGCTCGACGACTACAGAAGTCTGGTAGGATACGACGGAGAGTCTCAAAGGCATCGTTGATCTCTTTCATGCGGTGTCTCTCTCGGGCGTTGGCGGTCTTCCTGCGGTATTTGGACAGCGGCGGCGGCCTCGACTTCGAGGATTTTGTATCTCTCTGTGACAGCCCTTCTCGTCCTCGGTCTAGCTGTAGTCTCCTCACCACAGACCGAGGACGGAGACCGTACTTCTCTACGGTAAACGACGACGTTCTCCGCTGTCGAGTGTTGTTGTTTGCGTCAGTACACTGTGGCGCCCTACTGCCTTGTCCTGTCAGAGGGTTGAACTCCTCCATTACTCTCTCTTTGTTATCTATCATATTTGTTGCACACTCGCACTAATGCAGCTCTGTTGACGCTACAAACTCTGCATATTGGAAACGTTTTATCGTTATATCAAGAAGGAGAAAGGTTTTCGTGGTCACAATAACCAGACAGTTAGTAGTCCGAAGTAAAGGAATAATACAAAATGATGTGTTCGCTTGTTATCAACGACTTCTCACTTGTCTCTTCACTCAAAGCGACGTCACACGGGTGGTGGCCGGGCTCAGGCACCTGACATGTGAGTCAGCTGACGAGGATGAACAGGGACACACTCCTGTGCGAGTCACTTGACAAAAGTAACCAGAAGGTCCCTCTCACAAGTAACCAGGTCCTCACAAGTAACTGGCCACATATATAACTAACACAGTTTTCCTCTACGCTCAGTTACAGTAATATGTCACCCAAATAATTCTTGGTACATGTGTCTGGTGACAAGGGGAGACAGGAGCACCTCTTGGCCCCCTTGGTGACTCACCAGGTCCTCGTTACACACACACGCAGGACTCTCTTAGTATATCCATCACTGTTATTCATTACCACGGCACATCACTGAGTCCTGTGAAGTCTTACTGTGGCTTGATGGTCAGTAGCCAGAGTTACGTATTCACAACACAGAGTAATAATTTTTCTACATTGTTTACTGGTTCGTTGTCTCTACCAGTCCTCACAACTTTTCCATAACATATCTGTTTGCTATAATTTCTAGCAGGTCTCTTGTTTCACACTCACGAACATTGCTGTCAAATGTTTTAGTTATCCATTAGAATTGTTTTGAATGAGTGAGCAGCCTCCCTTTCTTTTTAACGGTTTAAAGTTTAAGAATCACGAGTAAGGTTTTTCAATACCGAGTCAAGAGACACACATACATACACTCCCCAAGAACGGAGCTGGGTGATACTGTGGCCACCAGGAGTTCTTACATCGTCAGGAGCAGCAATTTCATAATAAAAGTTCATAGATTCTCACCTCCTATTAATTTTTTCCTCCTCGTCGTGCACTGATGATCACGGCTAGGCAAAACACACACACACACACACACAGACCTGAGCTAACTAATACCGTGGCCACAGAAGGAGTCGCTCATACATCGTCAGACGTAGCACTTGGTCATCATCTCTCGTAGCTCCTCTTCTCTCTCTCACTATCAGTTATCATTCTTGTGTTCCTCTTACTTGTTTATTTCCTCCTCCTCCTCATCATCATCATCCCATACGTGTCTTCCATCTCTTAGTTTATTTGTTTATCTTGATCTAAAAATCTTTCACTGGTCTAGGTTAGGTTACACTATTATGGCCTGAGTACAATTTTCTAGTCTTATGGGTTTAGTTAGAGAATTTGAGTACAGTCTGAGTACGGTCTGTTACTTCCTCTGCCTCTACGGGCTGGAGTAGCCAATCACACATACACACTCACACACATACACACACATACAGTCACCGCTGAGGACCATCACCACCGCAGCCTCACAAACACCAGATATTCTTAATTCATTATTGACGCCATTTTGAACATCGTCGTCGTGTCTGACAGTCCTCGTGAAGACTGTCAACAAATGTCTCGATGGAACGCAGTTGTTTTTCCAAGGGAGCTCGTGTGTAAAGGTTCCTCACAGCGGTAGACAGGTCAGTTGGTGGCCTTCTGGAGGATGACGGAGGAAATGTTTGTATCAGGAGACGGAAAATTTGGCGAAATCTTTATTAAATGAAAATAAGTATGATTCAGTTAAGGATAATAATAATAATAATAATAATAATAATAATAATAATAATAATAATATCACAAGACAAACAAAAGCGCCAGAAAAAAATATTAAACATTTAAAAGACGATAAGTATTCAGTCTAGTTCACCTGATTTCAAGACGACGCAGGTAGTGATCCAAGACTTGTGTCGGGGGGGGTTACTGGAGGTCGGAAGGTAGATGTTGACTCTCCAGCGGCTGCGGTAACACTGGCTGGTGCTGGTCTTCTTGCCACTCCCTATCTTCCTTCCTATCCCCTCCCGCACCCTCTGACGTCACACCTATGACATCACACGCATTTCTGACGTCACTGGATCACTACACTTTCATAGACATCACCCCAAGGTGTATCGAGTCCTCATGCACGTTACTACACCTACACAAACGCCACCCCATTCCTCACTACACCCGGAGCAGTAGTGTAGATATTTAATAGACCTACATATTCTACACCCAACCCTGGAAACCCTAGGGTGTAAGAGCTCTATACCTACACAGACACTATCAATATACTTTAAACCATCTCCCGATAGACCTAAGCCCTGGGGGAGGGGAGGAAGGGTGTGGGTGGGACTCGAGGGTGTAGGTGTTCCTCCAGAAGGTCATCAGTACACTTTCACAGACGACACCTTCATCTGGTGATCAGAGACAGACCAACAATGAAGATGTTACACTCTGGTAGGACTCACACAGCGGGGTGTAGCGGTGACTCCTCCTCCATCATCATCACTACTACCATCACCACCACCGCTACTACTACTACTACCACCATCATCACTACTACTACTACCATCATTACTACTACCATCATCATCACCACCACCGCTACTACCATCACCACCACCACTACTACTACTACTACCATCATCACTACTACTACTACTACCATCACCACCACCACCACTACTACCATCATCGCCACCACCACCACTACTACCATCACCACCACCACCACCACCACAGATGACACAATACTGGCCCTCGTCATCTCGCGCCCTCGGGTACGGAAGCTTCCACTGAGCACTGGTTGGTGTTGTCGCCTGTCTAGTGGGAGGTGAGCTATGCCCTTACACTACCGAGTATCAGGGCATGGGGCATGTCTCACACGGCTGGATATCAGGGCATGGGGCATGTCTCGCTGCTTGTTGCTCTCCTTATCACCTACGTTATTACACAGGCCTTGTACAGTGTCTCGGGCAGTCCTCCTCAGCCCTGCTAAGTGTGGTTCCTCTGGCTTAACTTTCTTGCATCTGGCTTTGTATGGCTTTGTATATAATTTGGACTCGTTATATGGAAGTTTAGATAATTTTGTCTCGTTTTAGGGAAGTTTATATAATTTTGCCTCGTTTTAGGGAAGAATATAAATAGTTTTGCATCGTTTTAGGGAAGTTTATATAATTTTATCTCTTTTTAGGGAAATGTTATCAAATTTTGTCTCGTTTTCGGGAAGTTTATATAATTTTCTCTTGGTTCCAAACTTTCTATATAAAGTTCATCATATATTTCTTCCTTCATTTTATATCTTGTTTATTTTTTTTTTATAATTATGTCGTATTTAGCCAAGGTTAGTCTCTAAGCTCTTATTCTCTTTTCTCTCTTTCTCTCATCTTTATTGGTCCTGTCTCTTATCTAGGACTTTCTTGGTTACTTTTTGTCTCTCTCTCTCCTGTGTTTGTTAGTCCTTTCTCTTTTCTTTTCTTTCTCACATACCTTTGCTCCCATCTCGCTTGGTTTACGTCTCTCTCTCTCTCTCTCTCTCTCTCTCTCTCTCTTTCTGTGTATATCTTCCTGCTTATCTGTTTGTCTGTCTCGCTGTGTCCTTCTCTGTCTCTCTCTGTCTTTATCTCTGTCTCTCTGTCTGTCTCTCTCTCACCTCTGATATTTGATAACAAGTGTACACGTCTCCATGGCCTCATTATTTATTTATTTACAAGCAGTGACACCTATTAATTTGTTGTTGTTGTTGTTGTTGTTTTGCTTCTCCTCCTTCTTTTCCTTCTATCTTTTCTTCTTTCTTTTCATTCTTAGTTTTATTGTTGTTCTCTCTTATTCCCATTTTTATCCCTCTTCCTCCTTATCCATAATCCCCCCTCTTCCTTAGGCTGGCAGCACAATCCACCTCTGACACACACATACACACACACCTGAATCACTCATCATACGCTTTCATACGCAAACAAACACAGCATTTATCATCCTTTAACTAGGTCTGAGTGAGGTAGTTAAGTGTGTGTGTGTGTGTGTGGAGAGGAGGAGGATAATGAGGAGTATGAGGAGGGGGAGAAGGAAGATTAGGAGGAGGAGGACGAGGATAAGAGGAAAGGGAGAAGGAAGGATGACTATGATAAACTAACTTTTTGGAACTTCAGATGGCAGCACCAGCGGGGGTAACTATGGCCGGGGAAGGAACAGAAGTGGGTGCTGAAACTTACTCCCCAGTTCTTGGCAGTTTTACTGGTGTTTTACTGGTGTTTTATTGGCGTTTTATGGCGTTTTAATGAACTTTGCTGTGTTTTAACCGACCGCTGATAACACAAGAATACCCAGTGAATATTTGTGTCAAGTCTAGTGTTATTATTTATCGTTAGTGATAAGATACAAGTTGGTTTTTATAACCCTTGTGAATAGACTCGGAAATGGTACACGTGTTAATCTTATTCGGGCAGCCCAAAGGTCTTACGTACGCTGGATTTAAGGGTGAAAATAACTTATTCTACTCAAGGTACGTCTAGGAAACAGCCTTTGTTGACATGTATTGACTAGCTAGCATCTAATCGACCCCCCTAAATTAACACACACACACACACACACACACACACACAGGTCACGAAAGGAAGGAAAAGACTAGGTGATGGTATAGTGGTAGTGGCTAACCCAGCCTAACTTAACCTAACCTAACCTAACCCAGCCTAACTTAACCTAACCAAATTTAATCCGACCAACCTAATCAAAGTTACCCTAGACTAACCTAACACTACCTAACTTACCTTATCGAATTCTAACCGAACCTAACCTAACCTAACCTTGTGTGAAGGAGACCTGGTTCTCACGGGGCCTCAGGTGAATTCATCAGCCGCGACAGGTGTACTCATTAATTAAGCTGGAGCACAGGAAAGAAATCGAGGAGTGGTTGAAACTTGAGGTGTTTTATGACCTAGGGAATACGTTGGTTATCTGTCCGTGCGTAAGTTATGTTCTTATCTGGGTAGTCTTGAAGCTTCGTGTGTGTGTGTGTAGTGAGAGAGAGAGAGAGAGACGTGTAAGAAGGGCGTTAAGTGATGAATGTCCCTGGAGGAAGGGCAGGTGAGGTCGGGTTGGTAGTTCGGCCACACACCCCTAGATGGTGCTGCTCCGGTGGCTGCCAGTTCATTATTCCTCGCCACGAGTTATGAGTGCGAGAAAGACAGACAAAGCACAATAAAAATGACAAACTGACAAACAAACAAACGGGCTAATTAGAGTGATTTATATCTTGCCTTCTTACCCCTGCCCGTACCCACACACACACACATGAAAAACAAACACGCGAACTATCAATCTCTGGCATTATATTGGTCCGCAAGAGGGTGCGCGCGCAGTCAGCTGATTTATTTACCACAACAAAAACACAATAGTGACAACAAGAGCGAGAACTTCCTCACCAGCGTAACAATGAAAAGATCACCTGAAGATTAGCCCCCTTAGCTTATTTCACCTAAAGATTAACCTAACCTAATCTAACCTAACCAGGGGCAGATTGAGGGTCACATCTCGTCCCAGTAATGAGTTTCGTGAGACTAAAACTTTAAAAATTAAAAAAGAAAAACTATGTGCTAAAATCAAATGGAATTTAGGGAAGATCAAAGGCGACAATAGAGGGAAATGTACAGAAATATTAAACAAATGAACCAGAAAAAGGTAATAAATGGGGTGGAACTACTTAAAGCAATAAGATGCTGTTTGAGGTAGAAGGAGTAAAAGCGAGATGGGTAAAGTAGAGGAAAGAAACGAAAAGGAAATAAAGATTGAAATGCCAAGAAGTTGAGGCAGCTGTGAACAAAACAATAAAGCTTATGGGGTTGGTCTTCTTCCATCACAATTTAAAAACAAAAACAACAAATGGGCAAGAATGGGGTAAAATGTTCGACCAAAATATATAATTCTATAAACATCAATGGTGACCTTCCCAGTGACTTCAAAAACTCAATATTTGTATCATTACCTAAGAAGACAGGCGCCTTAGAGTGCACATATAGCTTAGAACAATAAGCTTGAAAAGTCCTGCCTATAAAGTTTTATTAAATACAATTTTAAGTTGAATAAATTTTAGAAAAGCCAGTGAGGTATCTGATTAAAATGGATTTAAAAAAGACATTACTGAAGGAGGTATTAGAATTAAAAGAATATATTTACTGTCAACAAGAGGCGGAGTAAGACAAGGCTGTGTTCTGTCTCCACCATTGGGAAGTAACATTAACTGTGATGGCAGATGTAACGAGAATAGGTCAAACAAAAACAGTATTTAATTATCTAAAAGACCTAATGAAAAGGGTTATCTTAGCTGCGTCAACTGTCTCTATGAATGCGTATCTGAAGTGACTAACTGACTTGGGATCTGACACTTTTTTTTTATTGCTCTGAGTTGTTCTTGCTACCCCCCCCTCCTCTCTTCTGACTCCTCCAACCTCTCAAAACAACAACAACAACAACAAAAACATCCGAAATTCATCCGAGCAGTCAACTTTAGATCCGAAACTCAACCGAAAATTTCACATCCACATCTGAAACACAACTGAACACTGCATCACACAACCGAAACACATCCGAATATTCAACTTCAGACCCCGAAACTCATCCGAACACCGCACCCTACCTCCGAAACTCATCCGAACACCGCACCCTACCTCCGAAACTCATCCGAACACCGCACCCTACCTCCGAAACTCACCCGAACGCTTAATCACACACCCGACACAAAAATCCGAACAGGCTGGCAACCCACGATAACTCATGACTCGGTAATTGATAATTTCTTTAAAAAAACAACAACGATAGAGCGATAAAGGTACACGGGAGAGAGAGAGAGAGAGAGAGAGAGAGAGAGAGACCACTACTGGCAGAAGGTATAACTTTTTCGTCAGGCGTGAATTTTCCTACGCGTGTCATTAACAAAGGTGAAA